AATTTGTACTTTTCATTTTTTGTTAGGTACTAGAAAGATACTAGCCCAAAAAAAATGTTATTATTACAATTTGTTTTATTTAAAATTATTAATTGATTTCTTTATTAAATTTGATGGGATTATTTTAATATGTTGTTAAACTTTAATATAAATTATTTTTTTTTAGAAAGATACTAGCCCAAAAAAATGTTATTATTACAATTTGTTTTATTTAAAATTATTAATTGATTTCTTTATTAAATTTGTTTTAAATATTTTAATATGTTGTTAAACTTGAATAAGAATTATTTTTTACTAGAAAGATACTAGTCAACTAATAACTAGGAAAATAAGCAAAAGCCTTCTGGTACAGTTAAAAAAAGGAAGTACGCTAACAAAACTAGTATGAAGAAATTTTAGGTCTGGGGGTTTTGCGCTTTTTTTTATCAATAAGGGTACAAAGTTGTTGCCTCCTTAACAATTTAATGCCAGAACCGCCACTGCTCGTTTTAACTTATAATACATCAAAGTTCTATTGTAGAATTATAAAACGGCTCATTTGTTAAACCGTAGGTACAAGGACAGGATGTAGGGACAGGACCCAATCTAAATAATACACTAATTGACAGGCTCTTTATAGTATACAGGGTGTATCAGTCATCTAAAAGATTTTTCATACAATTTATATGCAAAGCTGTCGGATCATTGTGATACACCTATATATGCCTAGCCCATTGAACCATGTAAATTGAACCATCAAAAGGAACGACCGTCACAATAGTGTCTCTCTTAAGATCCAAATTGATTGTAATGCTCAAGTTATGCCAGCCAAAGCGGTCTTAATTGAGAGTGAAAAAAGTACTACTTTAATAGGATATACCTATTTAATGAATCCGAAATTGGCCTACTATTTTCATTAGCATATACATTTTTGAACTACAATACACAAAATAAAAGTGTATTTGTGTATTGTAAAAAATTATTTGTGAAAAACAAAATTTTATTTTGGTTTTGGTTTAAAAAAAAAAAATTGTAAAAACTGTTAAGTAATTTTTAGATTAGTTCTAAACACAAATACTCTATTTGAAGTATATTTTAGATAATTATGCAACCGTATCGAACATGCTAAAAATAATACATAAAGCGGTTTATTTCACATTTTTAGAGGTTATTTGAAAAATAACTAAACGTGCTTGAAAAAATCTAAGGCCCGAATCAGATTTAGCAAAAAAAAAATAATAATAAATGAATGTACCCATTTTAATTCTTGCTCTATAAAATACATAAGATAACCCCCTATAAACAATTTGATAGGGTAACACTACAGATTTTGTTTGAAGATAAAGTTTTTGTATTTGAAAGTTAAATAACTATTGCCTATTTGGAAAAACTACTTTTTATAATCACTCCATGCCAAATCATCTAATGTGTGTGCGAGTGGATTTTCTAAATGAATCAAAATTTTATGTCCATAAATCGAACTTCTTTGGATTAGGGAAACACATTTTTTGCCTCGATAAGGACCTAACACCTGTAATTGTCGTGCAGTAATATTGTTTAAATAAAAGCACATTAATTTAAAAAAAAGAATAACACCTAAAGCCATTCAGTAACCAGGTCTAAAAAATATTTGATTATTTACCAATAAATGACAATTTATGTGTGGAACAAGTATTCAAACTCTAAACATCTAACTTCGTTTTTAATTTGTTCAATACTTTAATTATTATAATCATGTAATCACTCAAAGTACATATTGCCTAGGGTGACCATACGTCTCGTTAAAAATGGGATTGTCCCTTTTTGGAGCTAAATATTCCCTTGTCCCACTAACTGACTTTCGACTGGACGCTTTTTGTCCGGTTCTTAGAATATGGTTAGGTTCTCTCTTTATCAGCTATCTTATCAAAATATTAATAAAAATAGAGCAATAATTATTAATTTTGATTTAGATTTCGAAAGTGTGGAGAAAGTAGTGGAATTAAACGCTAACTATTTTTAAATAACTATTCAAAAAAAGATTTTAAAATAACTAAAATAGAATTTTGGGTAGAAAAAAATATGACTTTTTCTATGAGAAAAAAAAGAAAATTTCTAATTCTTGCCACTCATTTTTACAAAAAAAAAAATAAAGATGTACTTATTGAACTGTATAAAAAAAAAATGAAACTTGAAAGTTAGTCAGTGAACTATTAATACAAAACAAGAAATTAAAACGATTTTTTTATTAATAAATTAAAGTAATTTAAAATAATAATACTTATGGATCAAAATATTATTTATAATAATAAAAATTGTTATTATCAAAAGGTGCAAAAAGTAATTTTCAATTTTTTATTGAAGCTCTTTCTTTAGAAGTTTGGACAAAATAGTGTTCCGTTTTTTTTTTTATTATTAAAAATGATAACCATAGATGAACCAGCAAGTTCATTTGATTATTATTTTATATAAACCATAATAAATATAATAGTTTAACTAAATGGATCGTTAAATTAAAAAAAAAAATTTAATTCTTACTTGAAAAAATCATTTATGCTATCAGCAATGGAAGAGAGCTGGTTGTCTTCGGTCACAAACTTTGGTCTTAGAAATTTTTTCAAATTAACTGAAAAATTGATTAAAATCCATTAATATGTCATCAAGTATCGAATACTAAAATACACATAGGTATATGTATAAAAAATATAATTAGGACACTACAAAAACACTAAAAAATTATGTTTATTAGGATAGCACTTCGTGTAAGACCATATAAAATGTTATTATCAATGTTTGGAAAAACACTTCAAAAACGGTTGAGTGTAAGGAAGGTGTTCTTTTTCACTAAATGAGCTCCTGAACGCGTTTATAAGGAATTAATAAAACATAATTTCGCTAACATCAAAGTCAATATTTCATACGTACCACATAGCCTTAGTAAATAAATGGGTCCATAAACTGTACACCACAAGTCTTCCGAATAAATGTTTTTATATTTGAATTGTAAACTGTCAAGTCTTATTTTTTCTGATAACAGAGCAACAGCCTAAAAGAAAAATATTGGTAAAGTTATTAAATAAAAATTCTCATTACATAAAATCTCATCAACGAAAAATAATTTACTTTATTGTGCACTTCATTATTACGTTCTTTCGCATATAGCAGCGTCTGTATTCGTGAATTAAAATATTGAATAAAAGTCGATCCAACACACAAAGCTCTTTCCCTAAAAATATCTTATTATATTTTCGACACTATTATACTATTAACTTTGTAAGAAAAACAATAATTACCTAACAAATATTGTTGATTTTTGTTTGGAACCGATATAACCATCAATGAGATGCATAACAGTGAATTTGGATGGAAACTTTAATTGCTAAAATATTTTACACACCATTATTAGGCAAACAATTTATTAACAAAGTGACCAAATATTATTAAAATGTTTAAAACACCTTGTTAAATACCTTGTTAAAAACGTTTATCATATTATAGTCGTAGGACAATCGCCGTTTCAGAATTGTAGGCACATCAAATTTTAGTTGTTTATCGTATGGAGGCTAGAAAAATTAATAGTTTTGTTGCAGACAAAGTCAAAATCAAAATAAATAACTGTTTGGCTGTATACGTACATCCGTTCAACACATACATCAATTATCAGCCATAACAATGTTCTAAAGATTATAATAACAATTTTCTGTTAAACAAAATATTTATTAAGATAATAATTTAATTATAAAAAGGTATATTACCAAAAACTCTTGTATGGCAAGTAAGTTATTAATGTTATTTTCTATTAGACCAACAGTTCTGAATGCAACCAAAACCGGATTAGAAGATGGTTCTATTTAAATAAATAAGTAAATTAGTAAAATTTGGATTTTTTTCCGGAATGTTTCAGGTCAAAAAATTTAAACTTTTAATTTCAATTAATTACCAGACTCTTCAGTAGCCGAAGATGGAGCATCAGTGGTTTGGTTTACTTCAGTATTTTTTTTACGTCTGCCAACTCTTCCTTTGTTAAAATGTTTTTTAAACTTGCTGAAAATATTACAAAAGTATTTATTTAATTAGACTGATCGATTCATGTTATAAATAATGTGAAAATTTAAAAATCACTCTCTCTCTCAAAAAAAATTAATATTATTGGTAAAATTGACGACATAATAATTGCATTCGATACAATATTAATATTAAAACACATATTTACTGTTGGTCTTGGAGTGCTTTCATGTGGTCAAGCGAAAACTCATTTACAGACAAAACACGATCATCGTGTACCCATTCATCCCATTTCGTTTTCCACCCTATGTAATGAATGTAGTAGTTCAATTCACCGTCAGGTCCAATTCGTCGTTTTAAGCACTTTGCTTCATATAGCATAGATCTGTGGTAACACAGCACTATGTCATCTGTCAAATAACAAACGATTCAAATCAATTTGGCGTAATTGTGATTTTAAAATTTTTATTTATTTATAATGAAAAGAAATATTGCATATATTTGTATAAAAATGGTTGTTGCAGCATTCTGGTTTTTTATTTACTCACAAAAATCTTTTCTTTTTGTTAGTTTCTATCCAATCAGTGCATATTACTCAAAATTTTAACAATATTTGTTATTACCTAATTCATATCATCTTAACTCACTTTCAACAAAACTCACCTACTTTTTATAAATAATGGCTACTCTTTGTTCACTTTTCATAAGATCAAACGCTACTGCTGTTTTCTTGACCTCGTTCTCTGTTGTATCCCCTGCCTGTATTAACTATTCCCTAATCTCATTAATTATTGCTACTACAGATACAAACTTAATGCTACCTCTTAGATAAATATACTCTACTTAATTTTGTCCAGCAGATCCAATGTAAAATATTTAATTTAGCTACCTACTTTCAATATCTCTAAAATGTCCTCATTCGTATTTAAATTTCATCACCGTCAATTTTGAATCACCTTATTAGTTTACTCGGGTAAAAAATAATAATACATAAAAGTAAAAAAAAAAAAAAAGAAGAGACTGTAATCGTAACTTACTTTTATCGAAACGGAAGGGATCCACAGACATTATCGTACACGGCGGATGAGCACTATAAGTTAAAATTAATATCAAACTCTTAAAAATAAATTCAAAATTAAACTCGATCCAATTTCTAAGGATTTAGCAGTTAAATTATTATCCTAAATACTCAAGGCTCGTCTACTAAGCAGTCGAGTCGTTTGGTAAATAACAACATTGTGAAATTATGATTTTACTGAGGCGTCGCTTGTTGTGTTATTACAGTGCGGGCATGTCCGGCACACAAAATATCTTTTATCTATATTACCATTGTGTAGACGCCGACGCTAAATACAGATGAGTGATGGACATTGGCCAAATTTAAAGTGTAAAACAACGATAATTCGTTAATAGCTTAAACTAATGACTCGACATAAGAAATGGTGAAATTAATTAACGGAAAAAAACCAAAAGGTTATACGGGAATAAGACCTCTATACCGACAAGAAGTCGGCATCACTGATGGTCGGACGCGTTGGGACGAAAAATTGATAAGATGATAACATTTTCCATTTGAATATTTGATTGCTAATGGAAGCAATAAGACTTATGACTCATGAACAAAATATTTACTAATTATACCTAATAGTAGGAGATAATTTCATATTTTACTTTTTTTATTATATATATATATATATATGTGTGTACCTGTAGTATGTACTATAATATAGTATACTAGCTGTGTTGCCCGGCTTCGCCCGGGGTTTTGCAATATGCTCTTTTTTTTTTAATTTGATCCAAGCTAACGGAGAGTTTTTATTGTTTTGAATATACGCGTTTTCTTTTTACACTCTTAGGGGTTAAATTTTGGAAAATGGGTTAATAGATAATTCATTATATTTTGTATTACAGAGTATGTATGCTAATGGAGATTATACCTCTATTGGCTTGCATTTTATTATAATATATCATTGGTCAAATAAACAAATACTTATTATTACTGCAATGATATACTTACATATTTGTATTTTCCACAGAAAGAGGAATCTCTAGAGAACTTGAAGAAGTCTCTGGAACGACTAGAGAATATTTTTTTTGCATTCTATTATAAGTTAAACTTTCAATGAGTTGGGGTCTCGAGCTTTTTTTTTTTGCTTTTAAATGGTCGGCCATGTTTTTGTTTGCCGTTATTTTTTTAGAAAAAACCACACTTTGCGCTTTTACCGCTTTCACGTTTCACTTCAGGGACGCAAATGGTAATGACATATAACATGCCTAAACATTCGTTTTGGTAAAAACGCAAAATGTATCTAAATTTAAGTATAGCAATCTACACAGTACGACCTAGTCACGAAGTAACAAATAATTCTAATATCATTCATAATATAAATGATAAATAATAATAATATTATTATTATCTTGTATATTCTTGTTCAAAATAACAAGCGACTTCAGCGGCTACCTGAAAACCGGTTTTTCCACGTGGCATTCAGATAGCCACCGAGATCGCTTTTTATTTTGAACGGTGTATATATGTACCTAACCGTAAATTCGGCCGATGGGTTCATAATCGGTCGGATAGGTAGGTAGGCATATGACAATAGTATTGTAAACTGAGAACATTGTTGTTTATCGCACCAGACCGTCGCACGTTGCCGGTTGCCGACGTGCGACGACAGTACGTGTACAATTTATATTATTTTATTGCAACCGATAATAGTGGCGCGCTCCTACGGAATTTGTCGATAACTCATTGGGATGTTCCCCCTTGAGGGGCCTCTACACCTGCGTTTTTTTAGTCGAAAACAACTCATTCTAATTCAAACGTACTGTTCCTAAGAATACGCCGATTTAAGTTTTGAAAAAATATTTGTATTCTTCAAAACATTTTCAAGGCATCGGTCTTGGCACAATTTTAAAATTATTTTTAGTTAATTAATTATTTCAGTTTAAAAAAGTAAAAAAATTGCATTTTTTTACATTGAAATAATTAATTAACTGAAATTAATTTTAAAATTGTGCCACGACCGATGCCTTGAAAATGTTGTGAAGAATTCAAATGTTTTTTAAAAATTTAAATCGGAGTATTTTTAAGGACAGTACGTTTGAAGTAGAATGATGTATTAAAGTGAAATTTCAATTTCAAATTTTGTGGCTTCAAACAGTTTATTGACTTGTGCCTGCGAGTGCGTGACACTTCTTATCGACCGCTATCGTCGTCGTCGCATGGCACCCGCAAATTGCAGATGAGGATATTGTTTTTAGATATTTTGTCATGTACGGTGTATAACAAAATACTATTAAAACGAGGATCATTGGCAGAGCATTGCAATTTATACTGAATTGTAAAAATGATCGTTTTTCTACAATTTAGATTTTAGTCATTCGAGTATTCGACTAGCGTTGTTGATGTTGTCCATCGCAGGTCGTCTTATACTCACACAATTCATATTTTATATGATTTATATTTCATATAATAATGAATAATAAGTATACTAGGAAGTATTGACCTAAGTATAGAAAACCCTTATCTCGCTGGATAAAGAATAAAGGGAATTTAAATTCGCTGAATAAAAAAAACTATCCAGAGAGAGGTTAGATCATGCTCCGTGAGTTACCTAATATTATGTCTTGATGATTAAAACGAGTCCTTATGTATTATATTTTTAAGAACGGCATATTTTACCAAAAAACAATTTTTGTTTTAGCTTCGGTGCGTAGTTGAGAAGGTATTGTTTTTACAATGATGTGTTTTTAATTGTATTTATTTTTGTTTTTTGTGTCTGGACGTATCTTCTATGCCGTTAACCGATTTCTTCATGTATTTACTTTATATATTAGAAATCTCTAACCCTTTGGCGGCTGTCTTGGAAAAAAAATTAAACACCATAAAATACTGTTTTCTAACGTGTGACTGACTTGTAAAATTAAACGCCACCGCAACAGAATTTTTCCTACCCATGACAGTTTTAATCCCAAACTGTCTCCGAGGGTCATGATGAACTATCCAGATTAATTTGATAAGTAAAATAATATATTTACCAAAATGTTTTCAACTATTTTTATAAACGTTTCACATTTATGAATTGTAACAACTAACAATAATAGAGTTATTTGTATTAAAAGTTGCACTATTTTAACGGCAACTACGCATGAACGATTATAGTTGAGATTATATTGTTTATTCTCACAATTGTAAAGTTCCTCGCAAGTTCGTGGCCTTTGAGTACTTGTACACAAAAGGTTGAAGATGGTATTGAAGGTTTAAAAATGAAAAGAAACTCTCAAAGACAAAAATAAAGTAAGTATTTTGTAATTTCAACGTGTATAAGTTTAGTGTACAAAACAGTAATCGTGAATGTTATTGTTGCAGGTATCAAAATACGCAGCCAAAACACTTCTGAGGATCGCATGGCGAGGCGGCTCGTATTTACGTCGAATGGCCGTCCGATCGTCGTGGAAGGAGTCGTCCTTTGGCGGCTCGTTGACCTCTCCCAAGTGGTGCAATGGCCAATCCTCGAGTCCGGGTTGCGGGTGAATGGCTGAGCTGTTCATTGTTAATTGTGGAACATTGTCGGATAGTTGATTTATTAAAATGGCTTATTCGTGTGTTTTTACAATCTCTTTTTGTACAAAGTATATGATTTCTTATAGTGTATAAATAAATCGGTTTTTACAATTTATAATTGGAGTTTACAATTTATGCCATGGTTTTTACCCTTTGGCTAGGTACAGAGTACACGATTTCTTATAGTTGTATGAATACATTGGTTATTACAATTTATAATAGGATTTTACAATTTATTACGTTGTTTTACCCTTTGGGCTACAAAGTAGAGAAAAAACCCATTTAGGTCGTGCATTATTAACGTTCGAGGAGAAATCGGTTATTTAGTTAGTTGTAGCAACCCATTACACCTTCCTTCCAAAAAGGAGGTATATTGTACATCCGTAAACAATATACCTTCTTCATCATTGATTACGTGTTTGTGTATCATTACATAACATTGAAAATTACATTCGTTATAAAAGTTATACATTTGAGTACATAATGAATATAGTAGGTTAATGGTTAGTATTACATATAATTTTTTTCTTTTTTAACATTTAAAATTATTGATTAGTATAGATTAGTATTTAACATCAATTACAATTTATATATCTATTATTATTTTTTTTCATAATTTTACAATTACAATATATATCTTTTCATCAAGACACAATACAATATATATATAAGTTTTTTTTTCAAAGTACTGAATTACAATATTTTTTTTTAAAGTACAATTACAATTTATTACCATAGATAATATCTTCAGTTAATTTAGAATCTATAACAAAAGGAACTTTACCATTTTTAATGATTGACCGTGTCACAATCTTATTAATTATTATTAATCATAATCTATTTGACGCTGGTGTGTGTCCTTGAGCTCGGTGTGAGAAAAGACAAGTCCTGCCTTCTCTTGAACTATTGCGGAACAAAACACTTTTGTCTTCATTAAACGAGGTACGAGCAATTTATTTTATCCGAGGAAAGCCTGACTCGACCAAGACAGGGCCATACCAGTTCGGTGTGAAGAGAGACAAATCCTGTCTCCCTTAGAACTTTTTAGGCACAGCCTAGTCTATGGTCTCGTCTACGGTGTAATCCATGTTGGGTAGCACCCCCGTGATTTGTGATACTAGAAAATCTTTATCTTGGATGGCTATGACAATTGCCATGCTGGTATTGTATGGTCTTAGCTTATTAAAACGATCCCTAAATGCAGCCTTAAATTGGGTTTCAGTACGTTTGAGGAAACTATCGGAAAAATCAATGGTATTTGCCTCTACCAATATGTCCCAAAGTGTGCGCCTCATTTTATGTATAGTACAGTTTTCAAATGCTATTCTTAACACATTAGTGAAGTAATTTACTTTATCTGATGTATTTTTATATTCAAAAACCGAATCTAATAAGTTGTCCCCATCTATTGCGGAGATAACAAGTGCCATTGAAATGTTATATGGTCGTAAGGGTCCATAAAGTTCCCTCATTAATTTTGTAATATCTTTTTCTACGCTTTTTAAATAATAGTCATCAAATTTTATAATTAGATTTGAGTTTACTTCAGCTATTATTGTATGTAATGTATGTTTGGGCGCTAAAGGGTTGGTACAATTGTTTAAAGCAAGTTTTATTACTCGTTTCAAAAAGATTATCCGGGG